TTGGTCCCTCCTTTAGATTTTTCCTTGTTCCAGTCTCCCGGGTCTTTCCTATGTACTCCGCCCTGTGTCTGCAGTTTTTTTCTGAGGAGTTTCCTCTCTGAAGTCTTCCCCACCCTCTCCTTTCTTTCCTTCTGGCATGGTTTTCTCTCCACATCAGGCACTTTGTCTTTGTGCCTTTTTTATACATTCTACATTTTCTTCAGTTCTACCTTATAATAATCATTTCTACTATCTGTGTGTTAATGACTCCTTAATATTCACCTTCTTCTCTTTCTTGACTTTCCTACATGAATTTCTTGCTCCCATCTCTGTGCAAGTAAGCAGCTATTAGCCTTTTATTTTCCCACCTCTCTAACTTGAGGTGCCCCAGTTTCTGTCCTTTCCTCTGCCTTCATCTCGCCCACACGGACGTCTTTTGTTTTCCCTAAATTCATCTCCCCTTGATCTCTTCCTCTCTCTCCTGGTTGCTAACACAGTGTCACTAAGTCTAGTTCTCATCAGCAACAGCAAACTATCTGAAAGCTCGCTGAGCTACATTTGGATGTAAATATGCTTTTCTTTCCAGTCCGATTGACATGGAAGCTACGATAGCAAAGAGTGTTACATCTCATTTTAACCCTCTGAGAACAAGTGGGCCAGAAAAATGAAACCAAAAGCCAACTGCAAAACCGCAGTTCCCCTGATGGCCACTAGAGGCAAGCCTGGCTCCCAAATATGTCAATGTGTGCATTTTATTGGAAAGAGCTCCCTCAAAAACCTACCTCAAACACTCCCTCTTGCTCATACTGTTAATGCTTCACCCTTGGACTAACGCCATGAAAAACACAAATTTATTCAAAGACGATGCTAAAAGAAGAGAATGTCTACATTTAATGGAGTCACTCTGTGCTCCTTACCTGAGCTGTCCCAGGTTGTAGTGCCTTGTCTCGCCATCTGTGGAGCGTGTGATGCACACAGAGTAGCACGGCTGAAGCTGCCGCAGTTCCAGCAGGACGATGGCCAGGTAGTGGATGAAGAGGAGAGCGTCCACAAGCGACACGGCGTACTGCACGATACCCTGGTAGTTCTCGTCCTATCAACAGTTAGGATTTTTAGGAATCGTTTGTGACCGATTTACTCAAAATATGTAAAGTAAACACAAATCTAATAAAATAACTGCATAGTAAATATGTCCCAACACAGTTCCAAGCACAGATTATGCCTAAAATAGCCTTCCAGGCATAAACACATGTGAGACTAGATGTAGAGCATATAAATATTTAGCAGCGTTTCAAAGGACGGCGTTTCAGCCGTCCTTTGAAAGTGTGTATTCCTACAGGCATTCTCAATCAGGGACTTACAAGGATTTTAAATTATGGCTCACAGAGTAAACACACAGCACTGGGAAATCAAATATCTGTGTTTTAGCTGTTTGTGGCTTTGTTGAGCTTCTGATGGCATTAAAAATGAATGTGACTGCAGTACTCATGCTACTGAAACCTTTGTTTCTGTGCGTATGTGTGTGTAGTACTCAATGAATTTTCATTCACACGTACAGTTTTCCCCTCTCTTAGCTCACCTGTGAGTCGAGTATCCTGACTCCATAGAAGAGCCAATAGGAGATCACAAAGAGCAGAACCAGTACAGCAAGTAGTGCCCGGAATACATAGACCCTTGGGAGTCCTGCCCGCGCCGGCCTGAAGAAGAGCGCCCAGACAGCCAGCAGCAGTATGAGCAGTTTGAAGGCCACAGAGATGAAGAGGCCCTCGCAGGCCGTCCCGCAGCTCTGCAGCTTGTCTGGCCAGAGGATATGGGGTAGCACCAGAAAGGCCAGTGGCGTGAGAAACACCAGCAGGCCTAAGATTATTGCCAGGGTCCGGGTGAAGTAACGGCGGCAGTCGAGCCCCACACTGTCCTCCAGATCCTTTGTGATGCGAACAATGTCCTCCTGAGAGAGGCTGTGCTCCGAGGTGCCCGTGACGGCTGTGGTGGTTTCACCCCAGTTGTCATCCTGTGAAAATAGGGAGGAAACCAAAAGAGGATTTCAGACAACTGGTCCATCTCAGTTCCCTTATTTCATCATCAATCACATTCTTGATCTTCGGTGGACCACAAATTCAATCCCGTCAGCTGTTATAAAGGACATTCCAGTGTCCTATTTCAGTTCATCGCTCGCAGGAGCAGGAACCCCTGAGGGGCTTCTGACAGACAGACACACCATTTTATTGGAAATAATCACCGTAACAATATCATAGTGTAATAAAAACAAACTTTTATACGCTCCAGAATCACCATCATGTGAACAGCACTGGATATTATAGGACAATATATATTCATCATTTGATGGAAAGATCTTTTACAACTTCTGTACATCACACACTCTGAATCTATTACTACAGTTTCTTGCCAGAAACTCGAAACACACATTTGTTGCAGCAGAAGAACAATTTAAAATACAAAGGTCAAAGGTCATTAAAAAAAAAACAACCTTGCCCTCCAGATTCTTCCCACAGTCCAAACACTGATTGTAAGCTGGCCGTGGATGTTGGAAAATGGTTAAAAGGTGTCTTGCAGTGAGCGGTCAATAAGATGCTTTCCTTTTCTAGTAAACATTGGATGTTACTTGCCCTCTGACGCCATCCCTATTCACATTATTTAGTTAAGGAAAAAAGGATGGATTGACAGATGGATGTTTTTCCCCTCTGTTTGAGCCACTTCTCTTTAGCTTAACATACACTTGTAGATGGATATCACCTGTTACGGCATTATAAAATGTTTTTTCACCTTTGACTGAAGCATCAGCTGAAAGGACAGAGAGACTCTTTCCAAGCACGTGAGAAAGAAGGGACTAAAAATGGGAAGTGGAAAAAGCTAACAGCACATGCTGCCAACTGGGCTACACGCTGACGTCTGGGCTGGACTGCATCCGCAGATAATGATGGTTAGCGGTGTGAGAGCAGAGCTGCTAGAATAACAAAGATAAGAACTCTTTACGCTGTAGTCATAACAGGCCTCTAACATGACCATGCGAGCCGCTGAGTTCCGCCTCTAAAAGCAAAAAAAAGGGTAGATGATGAACTGCCATCAGCTATAAGTAAATTCAGTAACAGGTTTACCCACCAATCGGCCAGAAATGCTGCACCTAATGTGCAATATAATGCATATTTCAGGTTCATATCCATAACATGTGCCTGAGACTTGTAGAGATGGGAGAGACACATTATGAACAATTCCACTGAGGAGGTTGAAAGGATGATGATGCTGCACGGGAACAGAAAGTATCCCACTGGCCTCAGGGTGAAAACTTTGCAGTTAATCTGCATACTCAAGTTTTAATAATAGAATTCCACTACAAGACCACGTCTGCACCCACATACAAGCCAAGATGATGAGAGAAAAAGGTAAAAAGGTTTTATCAGGACCTTTCAGACGAATGGGAAAATGGACTGGTTCTTATATAGCGCTTTAAACAGCAAGGGCAGCATTATCATAGGTTCAGGCTGGTCTAGAACTACCTTAATATCACCAAACAAGCCTGATTTTTATTCTAGCAAAAGGTATTTGCACATTTGCCTTCACACGCACAGTAACATGAGCGACATCCCATTCTTAATCCACGTCTTAATGCACCTTGTTTTGTGCACGTTGGAACAGAGTTGGGAGCATGAAAGCATGAAATTGTCCAAAATGTCTTGGTATGCTGATGCATTAAGAGGTCCTTTCATTGGAACTAAAGGGGCAAGCCCA